TGGTTTGCAGGGTCTCTGTGTTTTATATTTGATAATGATCTTAATTCTTTTCTTAATTTTTGGCACTCTTTATCAAACCAACCATCTTTAGCAGTTTCTTTCTTACATCTATAATTTTTTATTTTTCTCAGGGCTTTTCTGACCACTGTAGAAAATATTTCGTTTAATTGGTGAGTTGCTAAATTGATAATTTTCTTCTCTTCACTAAATGGAGTAGATAGAAATGAATCTATCATGTTCTGGACCCGGGTGCTGTGGAGCTGGGCTTCATACTGGGCAGGACTGTCTTTACCCCATATAAATGTGGAGGGGAGGGGGTGCAGTTTAACCTTCGGGTCTGAAGGCCGGAGATTCACGGATCTGTTCAGACTGAGGACTGTGTGACTGTGGTCTGATAATGGCAGCTGTGGCATGACTGTGTAGTAGTTGAGTTTACTGTGGTCTACATCAGTGATGGCGTAATCTACTGCGCTGCTGCCCAGATGTGAGCAGTAGGTGAACCGACCCAGAGAATCTCCCTTTGTCCTGCCGTTGACTATATACAGGCCCAGGCTTTTGCAGAGCTGCAGGACTTGTTTTCCGTGCCTGTTTATCGTGTTGTCATAATTCTGACGTGCCTTCGTAAAGTGTTTCCGTTGATATATATGTGAGTTGTTAATATATTTGTCTCCATCTGAGGTAATGTAATCCGCTTCCTTCCCCGTTCTAGCGTTCAGGTCCCCCATTAACAGAACCGACCCTAGAGCTTGAAAGTAAACGATCTCTGACTGTAGGGTTGGGAAGATGTCTTCATTATAATAAGGAGACTCGTATGGGGGGATGTATGTGGCACACAGGTACATGTCCTCATCTAAACACAGAAGCTCTTTTTGAAGTTTTAGCCAAATGTGTGTTTTCCCTTTTTTCACAGGCTGAATATAATGCCACAGATGGTCTTTAAACCAAACTATGATTCCTCCTGAATCTCTTCCGTTTTTAATATTAGGCTGTTTGATAGAAGGGATTCGTAGCTCTCTGTAGTTTGGAGGAGTGCAGATTTTGGAGGTCTAAACGACACCAAGTCTCAAGTAATATAATTATGTCTGAACTATATACAATATTTACAAAATCAGGGTTAGTAGTTTTCTCCCCAAAGGCAGAAGAGAACAATCCCTGAATGTTATAGCATGTTATTTTAAACGATGACATTGACGAATATTGGATTTACCAGAAAAATGTATGAAATTCATGACCCAATCATGTTTTAAAATATAGATTAATCAATTAGAAAGGTAAAATAGATGATATATAGAAGTATGGTGAGTCGGTCAATTTTACACATTGGATAAAAAATAAAAATTAAATTGTAAAATAAAATAAAAAATAAAAATAAAAAAGTGATTAAGAAATAATGATCATTCTTGACAGACACACTATGAGTACTTAAGCTAACATATTGTCACATATAATCTTCAGCATGTGTTTGATCTGGATCAGGTCGGTGGTGTCGGCTCTACCTGTTCCTGCCACTACAGCGGCGTAGCTGTCCGTCTGCCGGACTGACTCGCGCTCAGGGGGGGTTTTCTGAGGGCGTTTCAGGGCTGACTCCTTGATGGTTTTTGCGAACAGTCTCATGCCCTCGCGATGGATGTGGATACGGTCATATAGATGCTCATGGGTGATGCGCTGATGGTTGGCTATGTGAACGCTCGGCATTGAAGCACAGATGTTGGCTATCTCCGCGTTGATTGTGTTGATGATCCTTTGAGGGACGTCTCTGCGAGGTAGAAGGGTTGAGATGATGACCTTGGCTCCGGGGTAGATCCTGCTGGCTGTTTTCACCACGTTGGACAGGGCTTTAGTGACGTCCACCCTCGGACTGAGGTCGTTTGTTCCGGTGTGAAGGATGATGTGTGACGGTGCACCCAGCACTCCCTCTCGCAGCAGTCTCAAAGC